TTTTTTTTTTTTTTTTTTTTTTTTGATGGTTGGCTGGTAGAGGGATTGGAACCCTTGACCTTGGTGTTGCAAGGCAGCACTCTAACCAACTGAGCTAATTAGCCAGCTAAAAATGTCAGTTTTTAAAAACTCTTTTGTCTAGTATTTATATATATTTGGTGTATTTTAAATAGTTCTGTTAAGGTGTTTAAATAATTGAGCTTTCTTCTTTTTACCTTATCACTTACTTCTTAATTTCTTCTATGTAGTAACATACCTGTCTTTCCTAATGCCTGTTTTTTCCATTTGTTAGGGACCTGTTCCAAGGTACAAGTTGAGCATTCCTATTCTGAAAATCTGAAATCTGAAATGCTCCCAAATCCAAACTTTTTTGAGTGCCAACATGACAATCAAAGGAAATGCTTATTGGAGCATTTTGGATTTCTGATGTTTGCATTAGGTATGCTTACCCAGTATATATTCTGTAAATATTATCCCAAAAAAATTTTTTTTTGTCTTTTGTCTTTTTCCGTGTCCGGCAACGGATCGCAACCCTCAGTGTTACCCCGGTACTGGACCGGGGACCGGCAACAGGATTGCAACCCTCGGAGTTGCTCCCGCGCCTCGCTCAGCCAGTGAGCGGGAACCGGTCTGTATGTGGGATCCGAACCCTGCCTCGCTCAGCCAGTGAGCGGGAACCGGTCTGTATGTGGGATCCGAACCCTGCCTCGCTCAGCCAGTGAGCGGGAACCGGTCTGTATGTGGGATCCGAACCCTGCCTCGCTCAGCCAGTGAGCGGGAACCGGTCTGTATGTGGGATCCGAACCCTGCCTCGCTCAGCCAGTGAGCGGGAACCGGTCTGTATGTGGGATCCGAACCCTGCCTCGCTCAGCCAGTGAGCGGGAACCGGTCTGTATGTGGGATCCGAACCCTGCCTCGCTCAGCCAGTGAGCGGGAACCGGTCTGTATGTGGGATCCGAACCCTGCCTCGCTCAGCCAGTGAGCGGGAACCGGTCTGTATGTGGGATCCGAACCCTCGGGCGGGAGCGCCGCCGCACTTCCCAAGCGGCGCACTTATCCAGTGTGCCACCGGGCCGGCCCTATCCAAAATTTTTTGAAAGTCTGAAATACTTCTGGTTCTGACCATGTCGGATACGGGATACTCAACCTGTACCAATGATAGTTTGCCTAGCAATTTTCTAGTAGTCATATTTGTTGTTAGACAATTTCTGACATATTTTGCTTTGTTTTGTTTGGTGGCTGGCCGGTATGGGGATCTGAACTCTTGACCTTGGTGTCTGGCTGGCCCCTGATATATTTATTTTAGATTAAAGCAACTAAATTTTGTACTAGAGAAAAAAATCCCCTTTTGGGGGTATCTCACAAAATAAGATTAATTTCAAAAAATGGGATAGTATTTAAATTCAAATTTAAAATGTGAAACTCTGGGGCCAGCCCGGTGGCACACTGCTGCAGTGCGCCGCTTGGGAAGTGCGGCCGCGCTCCCGCCGAGGGTTCGGATCCCACATGCAGACCGGCCGCTCACTGGCTGAGCGAGGTGCGGGGGCAACACCGAGGGTTGTGATCCCGTTGCCGGTCCCGGTCCAGTACAGGAGCGACACTGAGGGTTGTGATCCGTTGCCGGTCACGAAAAAAAGACCAAAAAAAAAAAAAAAATGTGAAACTCTGGCTTACAGCAAAGAATGTAAGGATTAAGCACTGAATAAAATATACTTACTTTCTCAAATGCTGAAATTTTGCTCTCAGTTAATTATAGCTTGCTAAAATAAATCTGGCATCTCCTTATGACTAAGAAATTTTCTTCAGAATCTCAATCATTTGGATGTGTGATCTAATAATATATATGGATATTTAATTTAATATGACTTTTATAACTAATTATGTCAAGGTATTACTGAAACTACAATAGGTATCTTTTTTTTTTTTCCTTTCTCCTTTGTCCTCCTGAACATATATCACTACAATATTGGGGTTTTTTTAATGAAAAAAGCTAGTGATTGCCATTTGTTACTACTTTGTAATTTGGAAAAGCACGTTTAATGTGCATTATCTTCTCAGCTAAGATACACAATTGCTCATCAGAACTATTCAATAAAATTCTAGTTCTTAAGGTAAATTTCTTTCCCCACTGCTCAGTATACTATAAATTTAACCTCACCTTTGGGGAGTCTGTCTCTATAATTATTAATTCCTCATCTTCAGTAGAACCTTTTAGCAAGAATGTCTTTCTTTGTAGGAGCTATTTGATGTAACACCACAATCTTTGAGAGAGTTGCTTTTATTCTTAAGAGAGTTACTTTTATTTTGGGGTCCATCAAACAGCCTTCAATAATTCTGTGTCTAAGTTATAAATAAAATTCTAGGAAAGTGCATGGTCATTTATCCCTCAAATATGTTTTTTCAGAACTGGAAAACTTTACAAATATTTATAAACTTATGAATATTCCCCCCTTAAAAAGAAGAAATTAACTGAAACAAAACACAATATTCTGTCAAATTATGAAATAATAAAACCAATAAAACATACCCATGAAAGTGTAAATTATTTTATTTTTTTCAGGAGTAGAGCATTAAAAAAGGTTATAATACAAAACAAATACTTTCATGGGAGAAATAGACAAAAGGCAGAAGTCACTCAGAAACCTTGTCATCCCCTTTCCGTTCTTCACTGTCCAGATTTTGCAGTGATTGCTCAATGAGTTATAAATTTTAGTTAGAGTCCAAAATAGATTTTTTTTTTTTTTTTTTTTTTTTTACTTCTCCTGGTTTTGAATCTGTAAATGCATTTTATGCCTATAATCATTTTTATTTTGAAAAACGTGAAAGCAAATTAAACTTATGGTAAAACTCTTTCCTTTCCATAGAGAGAAATAGCTCGGAAACTTGCAAATCCTAAACAGCCAACAAATCCTTTTCTAGAGATGGTTAAATTTCTGTTGGAAAGAATTGCACCTGTGCACATTGATTCAGAAGCCATAAGGTAAGCTAGGAAGTACATTCACTCAAAAATAGATTATAATCTGAAACTACAATGTTCTAAATTTAAATTCTGGGGTCCCTAAAGAAAATTAAAAACGTTCCCCTTATACTTCTTTTTAATGGCAGAAGCATACATCATTCAAGTTGAAAGAAGCCCTGCTAATTTTTTTTTTTTTTCGCTTTTTTAATGCTTTTTGTTTTTAAAGAGCTGTTGTGTTTATTTCTAGCCTATATGTGTTCATTAAAGAAAACTCAGAACATAGAGAAAGAAAGAATATTTTACCTCTGAGTTTTCTTAAACATTTTAATGGCCACGTAATATTCTGTAGTATATGTTATAGTACTCTTCACTTGATGTGTGAGAATAGTATGGTATTTGTAAAGAGGACAGGATTGCCATTAGATGTGTCTGGTTTCAAAACATGAGTCTGTGTTTGGCTTTGGAAAAAATCCTCTAATTTATCTGAGTTTTTATTTATTTTTATCTTTAATACAGATATAACATCTCATTTTTGGATGATTGTGAAAATTAGAGATAATATTTAAAAAGTGAGTGGCCTAGCATGATGGATGCTAATTGATAGCCATTGTTTTTTGTTGTTGTTGTTAACTATTCCCATAATTTCAGTTATTTCTAATGATTTCCTATTGTAGACTTTTGTCAATACTTTTCTCTTGTACTAATTATTATTTTGGTAGATAATATCTTTCTTTCCATGTTAGGTTACTGTGTAGCACTTGCTGGTTCTTTTTCCAAATAGTCCAGGATTCGGAGACCTGGTTCTAGTGCCCAAGTCACTAGTTATTTTACCTTATGTGAATCGCTGCTGTGGTTGTATTGAAATGCTGCTTGAGTTAGTTTGCTAAGTCTGTCATGAACAACAAATTTATTATCTGACAGTTCTGGAGGCTAGAAGCCTAAGATCAAAGTATCAGCAAGTTTGCTTTCTTCTGAAGCCTCCCTCCTTGGTTTGCAGATGGCCATCTTCTCACCGTGTTCTCACATGGTCTTTTCTCTATCTATTCAGCATGTCTGTGTCCTCATCTTCTTTTATAAGAACAGCAGTCGCAATGAATTATGGCCCACCCATATTACCTAATTTTACCTTAATTATCTCTTTAAAGGTTCTGTCTGCAAATTCAGTTACATTCTGAGGTACTGGAGATGAGAATTCATGAATTTAGGAGGAACACAATTCAGCCCATAACAACTGCTTTTTGATTAAGTTTTCCTTATTTTCTAATTTTCTTATTTGCAAATAAGAAAACTACGGAACTAAGGTTTTGAGAGAGTAGGTTGTTTGTCCACACCTGGGTAATGCCAAAAACCATAATTTAAACCTACATGTATTATTTTTCATGTCAGTGTCCTTTGCTCTGTAGCATTTGACTTTGATGGGATTATCCAAGGATATGATATAGTAGAAATAGGCTCTCTTTCCTATGCATATTACGTTTGAAAGAGACATGTAATGGCTTCCATGAGGCTTTACCAGGTTTCATTTCTACAGGAAATTATCATCAGCTAGTGTTTGATCTCCAGTTTTGAAAGACCAAAAACTCAAGTGTTTTCAGGAGCATCATGAGTTGTTTGGGCTCAGAGAAAGGAACTTAGAGTTAGGATTTCTAACAGTCTAATTTTATGCAAAATGCCAATTTATTAATTTTAGTGAGAAATACATATGTCTTGTAATCTTTCTGTGTAACCAAATCTTAGAATATTAAATTACAAGTAGAGAATTTTTTTATGCATTCAACATATGTTTAATATATTCATATTTAATATATTATTTTTAATATTTATTAAGTACATTGGGTAAATGGGGAAGGATAGTTACATAACCCACTTTTTATGGGGTTGGTTTATTGTTAGGGAAGACTCCTGAAATAGGTGGCACATACAATGGGTAGGTAAAAGATAGTAGGAATTATGAGAATTAACCAGGTTAAAATTGCATGGGAAGTACAGTCGAGGTCACTAGCCCTGGGTCCTTGTGCAGATTACTTAAGCTACTCTTAGCTTCAGTTTCCTCATCTTTAAAATGAGGACAATAATAATTACTTCTCACTAGAGTTATTGAGAGGCTTTAATAATATATGAATATGTAAAACATTTGGTATAATGCCTCACACATATTAAGGGTTGAATAAATGTAGTTATTCTAGGAAGAAAAAATTGCAGACAAAAAGAACAAAGGCAAAAGGAATAAAGAAATATTTAGAAAATTTCATGTACTTTAACAATAATGTAGGATTTTGAAAGAAAAGGTTGAGGATAGTAGAAAATCATCCTAAATATAACCTTTTCCTTTTTCCTTTATTTTTCTTTTCTCCAGTCATACATCCATTTAGATAAACATACACATGCTACAGTTAGTCAGTGGTCTATAGATAGTGTTTGAAAATGAAGTAGTCATTGTGATAATAATGGTTAAAATTCAGGAGAGAGGGTAAAATTTTAAAAAGAAAAAGGTTAAGGACTGACTCCTGAGAGAAATTAACAATTGAAGGGCTGGCAGAAGATAAGGCATTCATTAAATTTAAAAAAATTGTTTTTAGGGAGCATGGTCAAAAGCGGCAAATCAGAAAAGAGTGATATTGTAGAAGCCAAAGAGGGACTAAAAGGTGGGAGGGGTCAGATGCTACCCAGAAGTCAAATAAGTACTTAAAGGCATTCATTGGATTAGTAAAAGGCAAAAACAAATCAGTGACCAGAATAGCTTCTGTGGGGTAGCAAGAGCAAATGCAGAATACCATGGACTGAAAAGGGTAAAGGACAGTCCTTCCCAACATCCACTTCATGGTACACAGAGAAAATTTGAGCAGAGAAAACTGCTCAAGGCTGGTGTGAACTAGCCTAGTTTCAACAGGAGCCCAGTAATTCCCACTTTGCTACCCTGAGGTGTGAGAAAACCAAAGAGGTCAATACCTTGTCACACTTCTAAACTCTACTTTAGGAGATAAATTGGGATTTGGGGACAACCAAGGAAGACAGCTTAGCTGTAAAGGAAAAAATGAGATGATGGAATGGGAGTAAGCTTGAAGAAGAGTCTTTTGCTGTTTTTAATGAAAGAATTTTGAGTACTTGAAAGGCGCTAATTAAAAAGAAGAGAGGTTGAAGATAGGAGATGGGGAATATAACTATGATGGTGCAACATCCCTAAGGAAGAGAAGCAGGGAGAAGGACATGTTCCCCTATGACATTACAAAATAATAGACATAAATTAGAGGAGATTAGAAGATAAGGTATGGAAATTAGAAGTTTTCCTCAAGGCCTCTGTTATTCTCCATTATGTTAAAGGGAGGTTGTTTGCTCAATGGAAAGATTTAGACCTGAATTAGAATGGTGAGGATTTGTAACAGTTCTTTTAGACGAGAAAGGGGCATATAGGAGACTTCCTAAGCAGTTTTGAAGAGGTAGTTGAATTGGTGATGATCTTTTGCTTCATGATAATCCTGTGAAGTATATGGAGTATAATTATTTATCAGATTTATAAATGAGGGGTGGTGCTCACAGCCCTGCAGGCTTATCAGTTCAGTCCCCTCCCCAAAATAAATAAGTAAATTTATAAATGAGGAAAAATACTTTCTTAAGTGGAAGGACTACAGTCTTGGTTTCAAGACTTGGATTTTTCTTTTATAGCTCCTTGACTCATAGTGATGATTACCAACACTACAGTGAAAGTAGAGATTATGCCTTTCTTGTTTTACCCTGTATTTCTAGGATAGATCATAAGTCTTGGGACGTAATAGGTAGTCAATACTTATTAAATAAATGTATGCATGAAACCTATCACAAGTGGTCAGATATATTTACAGATTTTTTTAACGTACTTGTAATCTTGTTAAATTAATGCATTGTTTAATAGGATTACCTCCTAACAAGCTTAAATAATATTTTTCTCAAATTGGAAAAAACTTTTTAAAAAAATACAGCATCAGAGCTACAACTTCAGAACAAACTATAGGGTAAGCAAAGATTTCTTAGACCAGACATAAAAGCACAAACAATGGGCCGGCCCGGTGGCGCACTGGAGAGTGCGCTGTTTGGGAGCGCAGCGGCGCTCCCACCGAGGGTTCAGATCCCATGTGGAGACCGGTTCCCGCTCACTGGCTGAGCGCGGTGTGGGCGCGACACCAAGGGTTGCAATCCCGTTACCGATCAGTAAAAAAGACAAAAAGGAAAAAAAAAAAGCACAAACAATGAAAGATAATTAAATACTTTTTTCCTATTTGCATGACACCATTAAGAAAAAGAAAAATCAAGCCAGAGAGTAGGAGAAAAAACTTGCAAAGCATGTATCTGATAAAGGGATTATATCCAGAATGTATAAGGAACTCTGACTACTCTTATAATAAGACAAACGACCCAACTTTATTTTTATTTATTTATTTTTTTAAAAGATGCCCAGTAGGGAGATCTTAACCCTTGGCTTGGTGTTGTCAGCACCACGCTCAGCTAGTGAGCAATCGGCCATCCTTATATAGGATCCAAACCCATGGCCTTGGTGTTATCAGCACCGCACTCTCCCAAGTGAGCCACAGGCCGGCCCTAATAACCTAGTTTTAATAAGGGCAAAAGGTTTAAACAGGCACTTCACCAAATAAGACAGAAAAATGGTAAGCAAGCATAAGAAAAGGCATTCAACATTATTACTCATTCGGGAAACGCAAGTTCAAATTATAATGAGAAATGCCACAAGATACCTATTAGAATGGCTAAAATTAAAGATACTGACCATACCAAGTGTTGGTGAAGATGTGGACTGGCCAAACCAAGCATTGGTGAGGTGGAAAATAGTTTTCTTGCAACACACATATAATATCACCATCCAACCCAGGAATCCCAATACCAGATGTTTGCCTAAGAAGAAAGAGAATGTTCCTATAAAGACTTGTACTTACTGCTTTTAGCAGCTTTATTCATTATAAACTAGAATTAACCAGAAGTCCATAACACATTATGGTTTGTCCATACAATGTAATACTCCTCAGCAATACAAAGGAATAAACTACTGATTATATGTACCAACATGGATAAATCTCAAAATCATTACATCACATAAGAGATATCAGGCACAAAATATATAAAATTCTAGAAAAGACAAAACTATAGTTACAGAAACTAAATCAGTGGTTGCCATAGTGAGAAGGGGAAGGGGATTGACCACAGAAGGGGTATAAGGCAATTTTTTGTGGAGATGGGAATGTTATAAGAGGGTTTCAAAAAGTTCATGGAAAAATAGAATTAAAAGATAATACAAATCTTTCCTTTAACTTGCTGAAGTACCTTCATATATCTATGTAGCTCCTCAGTAAGATACTACTTCACACCCACTAGGATGGCTATAATTAAAAAGACGTGGTGAGTATATGGAAAAGTTGGAACCCTCATATTTGGCTAGTGACAATGTAAAATGTTAAAGCTGCTTTGGAAAACAGTTTGGCAATTCCTCAAAAAGTTAAACAGGGTTACCATATGACCCAGCAATTTTAATCCTAAGTATATGTTCATGACAAATGAAAATAGGTGTCCATACAAATACCTGTACGTAAATGTTTACAGCCACATTGGAAACAACCCAAATGTCCATCAACTGATGAATGGATAATTTTCTTATATCCATATAGTGGAGTATTATTTGGAAATAAAATATGATGTACATGCTACAACATGAATGAACCTCAAGAACATTATGCTAAGTGAGAGAAGTCAATGATAAAAGACCACATGTTGTATGATTTCATTAATATGCAATGTTCAGAATAGGCAAATGTATAAGAGGCATAAAGTAAATTAGTGGATGCCTAGTGGGGTGAATGGGGAGTGACTGGTGGATAGTTAAGGGGTTTGATTTGGGATAGTGATGGAATGTTCTACAGTTAGATTGTGTTAGTGGTTGTACATCCTGTAAATATGCTAAAAACCATTGAAGTGCCTTTATTTTTTTTTTTTTTTTTTTTTTTTTTGACGGCTGGCCTGTACAGGGATCCAAACCCTGAACTGTACTTTTTAAGTAGGTAAATTGTATGGTATGTAAGTTATATTTCAAGCTAACGTTTATACACACACACATTTATCCAATTTGTTTTCCCAAAAGTTTTTGTATCAACTAAAGATATTGGTGAATTTTAAAATTATTCTTGTGATATAAAAGGGAAATAAAAGTGCTAATATTAGTTTAAATTTCAACACCTGCACTCTATATGTTTTTTGTACTTTAAAAAGTGTTTAGATTTCACTGGTTAGCTGAGTGGTTAAGAGTGTGGTATTATAACACCCAAGTCAGAGGTTCAGAGCCCCATACTGGCCAGCCTCAAAAATTATTTTTAATGTCCTCATAATGTAATATTTTCTTCTATTTACTAATGAGTAGAGTCTCAAAATCAAAAATCGTATTTGTTCTTCCTTAAAGTGGTAACATGTTCCCATACAATCTGATCTTTATTGACCAGATAATATTCCATTTTGTGGTAGTAGGTATTTTTGAAGAACTAATTTAATTATTTTGGACAATTAGTTTCTAACTGATTAATCTGTTTATGAATATAGCATAATGCTTTTGATAAATTAGTTCTTTGCTATTAATTTCTGGGAATAAAATTACTGGTTCAGTAAATTAATTGCCAGTGGTTAATTTAATACTTCTGTCCATGTTTATGTTTATTATTTGTATTTTGTTTTATGTGAGTTGTCATTTGCCCATTTAGCACCTACCATTTTATCTTTTTTAAAATTGTAAATGGTCTCTTTGTATATTGAAATGAATAATAATTGTCACACATGTGCACAAAGTATTTGATAGATATTTACACACTGGGAGACACAATTATGGTCTGACTTTGGAGTTTTGGCAGATCTGGGTTCAAATTCTGGCAAGTTTCCCTACTAGCTTTTTTTGGGTGCGTGTGATCCGAACCCTCGGGCGGGAGCGCCGCTGCGCTTCCCAAGCGGCGCACTATCCAGTGCGCCACCGGGCCGGCCCTATACTTTTATTAATATATTTCTAGTATGTTTTGTCATCTAATTTCAACTTTGTTATTTTTCAGTAGAATTATTATGCATTTTTTTTAGGTAGATAGACTAAAAATAAGCTCAGCTGTCAAGTAGAGATCAAAATTTAACTTTTTTCCCCACGGAAACTTCTTTTAATGTGATATTTTTAGATTTTGTATATGTCCTGTCACAGGGCAGTTAGGATACAGTTAACTAATGTAGTAGTGATACTAATTTACATTTTCTTCTTTTAATAGTGCACTAGTAAAATTGATGAATAAATCGATAGAGGGGACAGCAGATGATGAAGAGGAGGGTGTAAGTCCAGATACAGCTATTCGTTCAGGACTTGAACTTCTTAAGGTATTTTTGAAACAATATTGTCTCCATGTATTTCCATAGAGTCATAATTTGCATTCCCTTCAGGGTATGCAAGAGTCAGGCTTGTTTCATTGGAAACTGGTCAAAAGATTAAATATTTGTCGTAGAAATTATACTTTATAAAAACAATGTGTTTTATGTCATAATGATAATCTAATTATAACAATAGTTTGTTTTATTTCATTTTCATTCATCATTTGCATGCCTGCTACACTTGTAACATTGTATGCTAAATAGTCTACTCTTATCTTTCAAAGAACTTACATTTGGGGCAGTAGGACTGCCTGCAGGAATTACTCTATGACAGCATCTGTCTGATTAGGTAGTTTTTAAGTAATTGGTATTCATAATAAATGCCAGAGAATTCAGCAAGTTGAGCACATAGAACCAGGTGACTCAAAACTTTGTGGACACAATATGACTTAATCTAGGGGGAAAACAGCATTGTCAAAATAATTTTTGGCATATTTGAGGGATCCTTGGGATACTCACCTGAATGGAGAATAGATTTCTTTGGAGAATAATGAGAGACAAGGTTGGCTTTAGATTGTGGAGAAATCCATCAGGGCGGAAAGGTAATGTCAGGAGCTTTTAATCTGGCTTTCAGTTGGCTACAACACTTGATAGAGCTTTCAATGGATGGAGAAAAGAGAAGAAATTGAAGGCAAAGAGAAACTGAGACATAAACTAAGGCAGAAGAGACAAATCACGGGCCGACCCATGGCTCACTCGGGAGAGTGCGGTGCTGATAACACCAAGGCCCCGGGTTCGGATCCCATATAGGGATGGCCGGTTCGCTCACTGGCTGAGCGTGGTGCTGACACCACCAAGTCAAGGGTTAAGATCCCCTTACCGGTCATCTTTTAAAAAAAAGAGACCAAAAAAACAAAAAAAAGGGCCGGCCCGGTGGCGCACTGGATAGTGCGCCACTTGGGAAGCGCGGCGGCGCTCCCGCCCGAGGGTTCGGATCCCACATACAGACACCGGTTCCCGCTCACTGGCTGAGCGAGGCGCGGGAGCAACGCCAAGGGTTGCGATCCGTTGCCGGACACGGAAAAAGACAAAAAAAAAAAAAAAAAAAAAAAAAAAAAAAGAGACAAATCAGTGCAATGGACATTAGATAGAAAAGACAGTGATGGGATCATATTGGGATGATCTTTATTATTTCATTGAAAGCATTTAATTCTCCATTTTAAAACCTCATAACTAAATATTATAACCAAAATAGAATCTCTGTACTTTATGACCCATTAAATAAATGCTTATTGAATAAGTTAATGAAGACTACCTACTCAAGTCTCTCTTCTTCCTACCTCTCCACTTTTTGCCCTTATTCCTGATAGTATATTAACTGGATTGTTTCTACTTTATGGAAGGTAAACTTTTTAGACATGTCATAGCTGTGTTGCTGTAAATTCCCTAAAGATAGAATTGTGCTCATGTCATAATAAATATGGGAATAAGTATAAGTTGTAATTGCAATTAAAAGTTCACAGTAATGGCTTCTTTTTTGGTAGTTGTGACTGACCTCTTTGTGATACATTTCATTTAACATATTACCACATAGATTTTCTTCTTGCCAGACAAAGCTGTTAATTAGCATTTTGTTTCCATCATACAAAGATTGAGTCATTAGTATGGAGCTTTTCTTTCAACCAAACATTCCTGCACCTAATACAATATATTTCTAAACTGGCAGTAGTTATTAATATTGGAATATCACACTCCGTGAAAAAGGAGCCTTTTTATTTGCATTCCAAACAGCAGAATCTGCTAAAAGATGATGAAGAAAATAGGGCAAAGGCTGTATGTCAACTGTCTTATGAAAGTAACTGGAAGCTACTACGTAGTGTTTCTGTTAATGTCTCATTAGCCACAACTAATTGCAAGGGAAGCTAGGAGAAGATATGTATCCCAGAATTTTAAATCTTATTTACTGCAGAAAATAATTCTCCTTTTTATTGATTAAAACCATTGTCTGTACTTCTAAAGCTATATCTGTTCCTCCAGGTTCTATCTTTCACACATCCTACCTCGTTCCACTCCGCAGAAACATATGAATCCTTGTTACAGTGCCTAAGAATGGAGGACGACAAGGTAGCAGAAGCTGCTATACAAATTTTTAGAAATACAGGCCACAAAATAGAAACAGACCTTCCTCAGATACGATCGTGAGTACATTTTTTTAAGTGTGGAAGCCATAGAATCATTTTTTTCCTTTCATACAAGAAGATAGGAGAGAGGAAAGACAGTTTTTATTTAAAAGCTACTTCTATATCCTCCTTTGTTTTGTCTCACACCACTCCACCACCATTAGAATGTAGGCAGAGGAGCAAACTTATTTGTTTATAACAAAATGATTTTCGAATATTAATAATCAAATGTTATCACAGAATTTAGTATTTTATTGTATTTGTTATTAATATTCCTTCCTAATCTATGTATGTTCATCTTTTTCTCTTTAACTGGGTTATAAATTGAATAGGTACCAACTTCCTGTCTCACCGAAGAATGGGGTAATCAAGTAGTTTGTTTAATAAAATAATTTATTAGTTGCTTTGTTGTTGGCAGTGATGCTTTTGTTGCTTTTATCTCTCCCTCTAGATCAGCTCTCCTCTCTTCATAAGAATGAAGTACATTTTGTTATTTCATTTGGGCATCTTAAAAAGGTTACCTTCGGGTCAAACTTGTGCTAAGAGTTTATGTTTAGACTTAAAATATGTGGGAGACATCTTGTGGAGGAAGAGCACATTGCTGATAGCTGTTGAATCAGGTGTTCAGGGTATATGCAAGTATTTCAGGGTATATCCAAATGCAAACCAGTTTTTCCTCACAGGGTAATAATAACAGGGTGAGTGGACTCCTGAAGTTTTAATTAAATTTGTGAGTTCACAGTTTAATTTATGAAACACAGTCACGCACTGCATAATGACATTTAGGTCAACAAACCGCATATATGTATGACAGTGGTCAGAGTAATAGGCTGCTATATCATATAGCCTAGGTGTGCAGTTGGCTATACCACCTAGGTTTATGTAAGTATACTCTATGATGTTGGCACAATGACAAAATGGCCTAACTATGCATGTCTCAGAATGTATCCCCATCATTAAGCAATGCTTGTCTGTAATTCAATACTTACTGTACATTCTCTTCATTCTCAGCACTTTTCTGGCTAATACAAAAGAATAACCACAGTCAGTCCCTGCCCTCAAGGAGTTTATAGTCTAGAAATGATAGTCTTTGTATGTGTTCAGTTGTCCCTTGATATCCATGGGGTATTGGATCCAGGACTTTCCTCAGATACCAAAATCCATGGATGCTCGGGTTCCTGATATACAGTAGTGTAATACTTGATATAATTTACACACATCCTCTTGTATACTTTAAATCATCTCTAGATGACTTATAATACCCAATACGATGTAAATACTATGTAAATAGTTGTTACACTGTATTGTATAGGGCACAATAACAAGAAAATTGTACACGTTCAGTACAGATGCTGTTTTATTTTTTCAAATATTTTCAGTCTGTGGTTGGTTGAATCCACAAATGTGGAACCCACAGATACAGAAGGCTGGCTGTACATTATAGAAAAGATCATTGACATAGTAGGATAAAATTTCTAGAGAGCTATTCAAGGTAGGAAAACCTATACATTAACAATCCTAATCACTCTAAAAAAAATGAGAAGGGATAAAGTTAATTTTTTTAAAATTATCGTTTCATTTGGCTAAGAAGAATTAATAATACATTTAACAACAGCTTGATCAAAACTATGTCTTTATGGGCCGGCCCAGTGGCGCACTCGGTAGAGTGCGGTGCTTGGGAGCGCGGTGGCGCTCCCGCCAAGGGTTCAGATCCCATATAGAGACCGGTCCGCTCACTGGTTGAGTGTGGTGCGGGCGCGACACCGAGGGTTGCGATCCCGTTGCCGGTCGCGAAAAAAGACAGAAAGGAAAAAAATAAACTATGTCTTTATTATTCACCAGTGCTATTTTATAAGAACTATTACTCTAGTAAGTGAGTTTGTGAAAGAATAAACAGTGCTTAGTCAAGAAAGGCTTACTTTGTCATGGAAATTCCCATCTCGTAATTCTAAACCTCCATGGAGAGAAACTTGACTAGCAGCATATATTGCAGTTTTTTGGGTAAGGTGCATGGCCTAGGGCCTGGGGTATTGCTTTTGATGTCTAGCTTTCCATTATCGTAAAGGACCCTTTGTCACCATTGTATTTGATACCACTGACCTCATAATCGACAAAGTAGGATCTTGTCTAATTGCATTAAGTATATAAGTATCTTTCCTTAAATTTTTATTTTGCTTTATAAATTTTCTTCTGATAATAAAAATACTTATATGTTCATTGTAAAAAGCTGAAACTAGAAAAATGTAAAGGAAAAGAGTCACTTAACATTTTGATCTGTATATTTTTTGTCAGTGTTTGTCTACTTGAAGTATATTCCTTTTTTATATAGGTTCATATAAATACGCTATTTATCCCACCTAATGTTTTCCCATATCAACATTTAATGCTTTAGGACTGTCATATGCATTTCCATATTGTCCCATAAAAAGACTGTTTTAGTTTAGTTTAAGACAATGTCAGTATAGTTTAAGACAATGTCAGTATATTTTAAGACAATGTCAGTATAGAGGTTAAGTGCATTTATTTTTAAACAAATGCTTATCTTCAAATCCCAACTCCACCATTTCCTAGCTCTTTCATCTGAGGAAACCTAAATAACATCTTTGTGCTTTAATTTTCTCATCTGTATAATGTCTATACTAACAGTGTTCTTTTGGTGGTTGTGAACATTAGTTGAATGAATCCATGTGAAAACACCTAGAGTGGTGCCTGATACATGTACTCAATAATTGGTAGATATTTTTATTACCATTCTACCAATATTTATGTATTTGTGTCTTTTGTATACCTTCTTACACTGTTATCATTTAAGCTGTTTAGTAAAATTTGGTCTTTTGCTACTTTTCTTTCAGGGCTACTTCAGTTTGAAATAACTGAAGGATTTTAAAAGGGAACTGGAAAAATAGGAATATCTGCTTAGAAAGTAAATGTAAAAACATGTCGTGCAGCCATGTTTAGATTATAAATTAAGGGTGGCTTATTTGTTATTTCTCCATTTTTGTGAGATAGCTTTAAAATGAAAATTGCCTCCTGAAGTAGCCTTTTTCTTGGAGCATTGTATTTCTTAGTTTGTACTTGGGGACTTAGGAGAGGCTTTACTACCAACATACTTCCAAATAGGGAAATCGGGAAACAACAAAAAGAATACTAGGGGTTTATGGGCTTTATTTAAAAACAAAAAAAAACACTATGATATTATTTTTTGCAGGACCTTAATTCCCATTTTACATCAAAAAGCAAAGAGGGGTACTCCACACCAAGCAAAACAGGCTGTGCACTGTATACACGCTATATTCACAAATAAAGAAGTCCAGCTTGCACAGATTTTTGAGGTATATATAATAGGATATGTTTATGTTGGTCTTTATTTTTTAAGGTCTGTGGTTTGATGAAGATGGAAACTAGATTTTTTTTTTTTTTACCTATTTATATGTAGTCCTACCCTAGAATATAAATTCCTTGAGAGCAAGGATTCTATTTTATTTAGCACTGTATTCCCAGCATTAGATCAGGTTATATGTTCAAATACTTCATACTGAAGGATGTTTTGTGTGTTTGTGGTAGGATATTTTACATAATTTTAGATTATTGGCTCAGTGGTCCATTTATCCTCAAAAAGTGTTATTAGATGACTCTGAACCACTCAGTTTAAAGTACCTAACAAGCTACTTGAAAATTAATCCTGTTTCTCTTTCCTTGTAAGTGATTCTTGCCTGATTCCACTATCAGAAAGGTATTCCTATTGTCATAAATTGGAGATAGTATGAACAGAACCCAGTGAATTCATACTTTTAATGATTTAAGGTCATTTTAAATGTCCCTGCAGGATAAGAAATCCACCAATACAGCAAACATTGTTGTAGAAGGGTTGAAAGTGCTGATTTGGTGAGGCAGAAATGTTCTTGTTTTTACTTCTTTTACTTTGTTTTTTTCTTTCATCTTTTTTTCTACATTCTTTTGATCTTGTTAAATTTCAATAGGTGAATTAAGAACTAAGTGTCTAATGTGTTTGAAGTTAGTTATGATCATAGCATTAAAACAGATTGGTTTACTCATGATAAATTCAGGAGGATTCAAGAAAATTTACTGTTTCCATAGAATGTCTAGGTATTTATAAAACAAATTAGTAATTTGTCTGTTTTATTTTTATAGCCACTCAGTAGGAGTCTGAATGCTGATGTACCAGAACAACTTATAACTCCATTAGTTTCACTGGGCCACATTTCTATGTTAGCTCCAGATCAGTTTGCCTCCCCAATGAAATCTGTAGTAGCCAATTTTATTGTGAAAGATCTGCTAATGAATGACAGGGTAAGTTTCTCATTTAACTAAATTTAGAGTCATGAGATTAAGACTGTTTACATCTTTGTCACAGAAACAACATTTCTGCTTCTCTCTGTATAATTCTTTTTCTTTTAAATTCTTCTATATTGGGCCCCTTATTTATTTATTTACTAAATTTCCAAATGACTTTCTGACTTTGGGGTAGCTATTACTAGAACTTAACATTTAAAAAAGAAAAAATGAGAACATGCGATGGATGAATCATAAAGTAAACTATATGTCAAATGCTATTCTTACCTTTGAAAGACAATTCACAATTTCTTGGAGTCCTTGAATTTTGTTTTGTCAAATGAAAATATACAAGGTACTTCAAAAAGCTCATGGAAAAGTAGAATTAAAAGATAATATGAATCTTTCCATGAACTATTTGAAGACCCATCATAAGTGGACTTTGATTAAATAAAATTTAATTTGATTAAATTTTTTGAAATATTATTACCTTATATTTTTGGTACTAGATTTATGTATTCTGTTTCAGAGATCAGGGGCTGTGTATGTGTATATCCTGATTTACTACCTCTGGGTTGGAACTTAGGAATATATAGATTGAAAAGGCTCCCTGTATTAATACGTTTCTGTTCCTTATAACAAAATATACAGAACTGGGTATTTTATAAAGAAGATGAAATTTATTGCTTACAGTTTCTGAGGCTGGGAAGTCCAAAGTCCAGGGAACACATCTGGTAAGAGCCTTGATGGTGGCAACAGTGACCCAGTGGTCTCACGTTGCAAGATGGTGGAAGCAGAGAGAGCCTAATCTCCCATGTTCTCTTCTTTCAAAGCCCTTAAAACCACGCCATTGGCCACCATTATTAATCCATTCACTACGGTGTGGTCCTACAATCCAATCACCTCTTCAAGGCCCCACCTTTCAGCTACATAATCTGATTTCCCACCCTCAGCAGTTACAGTGGGAATTAAGCTTTTAATGTGTGAACTTTGGGGGCACAATTCAATCAATCACAGCGTTCCCCAAGTGATTTCTGAAACATACTTTAAGAATTACTACTTTATCAAATGGATCTAAATTAAAGAGTTATTAAATACACAAACCATTCTCACATGCTGGATTATTGTGGATGACTTTCAATTCAGTGCTGACTTACCCTAAATCCAATTATCCAAGTATTTCCTTATCCTCCTCCATGATTCAGTAGTCTTCTAGAGCCCTCATGATCAGGAACTTAAAAGAAAGACATCTGCTAGTGCACAGTCTGCGCCTGCATCCCCCACTCCGTTGGATATAATGGACAAAGAGGGCCTAAGAAGAACACGGCCTAAGTCTCATTTCCCACCCCACACATCCATGCTGTTTGCATTCTTGACAGATGTGGCTGACAACAAGTGTGAAGTTTAGACACCTCTTAGATGATGATTTGATTGTTGATAGATCCTATTTTAAGATGGTCTTTCTAACTGTAGTAAAATATACATAATATAACATTTGCTATTTTGAAGTGTACAATTCACTGACATTATATACATCCACATTGTTGTCTAATCATCACTATCCATCTCCCAAACTTTTTCATCATCCCAAACAGAAAGTCTGTGCCCATTAAGCATTAACTCCCCATTGCCTCCTACTCTAGCTCCTCATAACCCCCTTCTACTTTCTGGCTTTATGAATTTGCCTATTCTAGATACTACTTATCATACAATATTTGACCTTGTGTGTGTGGCTTATTTCACTTAGTATTTTTTCAGGGATCATCCATGTTTTAGTATGTATCAGAACTCTGTTTCTTTTATGGCTGAATAATAACCCAGTGTATGTATTTCCAACATTTTTTTGTATCTCTTCATCTGCTGATGGATACTCATGTTTCCACCTGTTGGCTATTGTGAATAGTGCTAATAGGAATATTTGAGTCCCTGTTTTCTGATCTTTTGGGTATATGTCTAGGAGTAAAATTGCAGTGTTACATGGTCATTCTGTGTTGAATATTTTTAGAAACCACCAGACCGCTTTCTTCCACAGTGGCTATACCATTTTACATTCCCACCAACAATGCACAAGAGTTCCAATTTCTCCACATCTTTGACAACACTTATTTTTCTTTTTTTTAATAAAATGATAATCATCCTAGTGGATGCAAAGTGGTATCTCATTATGGTTTTGATTTGCATTTTTCTAATGAGTAATGGTGGAGATCTTTCTCATGTGTATATTGGCCATCTGTAAATCTTCTTTGGAGAGCTGTCTGTTCAAGTCCTTTACCCACTTTTTAAAAATTTTTTTAATATATAAAAAGATGACTGGTAAGGGGATCTGAACCCTTGCTTGGTGTTATCAGCACCACACTCTCCCAAGTGAGGCATGGGCAGGCCCTCTTTACCCACTTTTAATTGGGCTGTCTTTATTGTTGTTGAGTTGTAAGAGTTCTTTATATATTCTGGGTATTAAACCCTTGTCAGATATTTGTCAAATCCAAGATCACGAAGAATTTCCCCTATGTTATTTTCTAAGGTTTTATACTTTTAGCTCTTAAATTAAGATCTTTGATCTATTTTAGGTATATGGTACCAGTCCAGCTTCATTCTTTTGCTTGTGCATATCAGGTTTTTGTAGCATTACTTATTGAAGAGACTGTCCTTGACACTCTTATAAAAAAAATTAATTAACCATATATGCAAGGGTTTTCTGGGTTTTCTGTTCTATTCCATTGGTCTATATGTCTATCCTTGTGCCAGTACCAACCACACTGCCTTGATAACCGTAGGTTTATAGTAAGTTTCAAAACTGAGTCTTCCATCATTCTTCTTTTCCAAGCAGAGTTTGGTGACTTTCCTATAGGTTTCTCAGAGCCTACCTTGTTTGGCGTGGAAAACTTAAAAGGCAAAACATTAAAATTTTTTCTTTCTAAAAGCTAAATTTATTCAATTGTATATAGTCAACAGGTGAGAAGAATGGAAAATTATGGTCTCCAGATGAAGAGGTTTCCCCTGAAGTGCTAGCAAAGGTAAATTTGTGTAGGTCTTGGTAACTTTTATGTTGATAAAAGGAATGTTTATAGGTATGCTTTTTTTTTTAACCTAACAGTTAATAAGCATTTTTTAAGATAATTTACTTTTAAAAGTTGTGTTTCTCCCTGTACCAACCACCCTCCAAAAAAAAAAAAAAAGTTGATTCTCAAAGAAATTATAGTTGTCCTTCTTTCTTAATATATGTCAGTGTCTTCTGCCTGATGAAACAATTTCAGTGAGACTGTTTTACACAGAGATTGTAGAATGTTGGTGCTCAAAGGTCTCAAGTCTAGCTTCACCACCACTATCTAGAAGTATATGAATATTAACTTGGCAAAGACAGATGGTTGTCAGCAAATTGGTGACTTTTCATAGATGTAAATTAACAAAGTGCACTTTAAAAGTGAGCTTGTAATTTAAAATAAGAGATTGTATCATCTTTGATCTGTTTCACTTGTGCAGCTTCATAGCCATCATATCATCTATCAATTCCTTTTTCCATGTTTTCAATAAATATTGTAAATAATGCTTAGATTCTTTGGCTAGCTCTTTCACATATTAGTAACAATCTTTTGAGTAGATGCCTCCAAGTAGTTATGACCACAAATAATTATGGAAACTCCATTTTTTTTGGTCAGAATGTTAAGTGAAACTGAATCAGACTTGATGGCTTTTTCAAAATAGTTTTTCAGTACTACATTTAACCTATATATTTTCAAATTGTTAAAAAATTTGGGGCAAGTATTTAAGTGTGAAAAGCCTGAGTTTTGGAGCCAGACCTTGAGCAAGTTATCTATCATAGTAATTTGTCTCAGTTGGCTTAACTGTTGGAAATAATAATACCCTTCCTCATAGAATTATTTGGGAGATTAAATAAGTTCACACTTATACAGCTCTGGGAAATGTGCCTGGTACAGGTTAAACATGGAGTAAATATTAGTTCTTATTGTTACTGTTATTATCCCATGGACTTGTTTAATAGAATATGCCTGCTGATGAGGATAAGTAAATCTTATTAATCTAATTAATAATATAAATTAGTCTTTCCTTTGGTGGCATTTTAAGTTGCTTTCATTTTTTAGCATGTTAATATTTTATAGGTACAGGCAATTAAACTTCTGGTAAGGTGGCTGTTGGGTATGAAAAACAACCAATCTAAATCTGCCAATTCAACTCTTCGACTATTATCAGCGATGTTGGTTAGTGAGGGTGACCTGACAGAGCAAAAGAGGATCAGGTGAGATTTTTCTTCCTTTCCAATTTTCTTATAGGACTCTAAATTCTATTAAAAACATTTTTTGATAGATTATACATTGGAATTATTTACCTAATTACTTAGATACCAGGTATTGCCACTCTATTTAACGATACAAAAATTCCTGCCTCCAAGGAATGTGCACTCTAATGGAGGAGGTAGCATATGAGCAATTATAATTGATGGTGCTTGATGCTTTGATAAATTGATGAAAACTGTAAAACATTATTTTTATTGTAGAAAAAGCCAAAGGTAGGTAGTAGCCCTTTATGAACAGACTGATGATTCATGCTGAGTTGCAGATATGAGAATCTTTAAATTTAGGGTAAATATGTACAGTTTATGGCAAAGGCACAATAATGAGCTTGCAAATCAGTGATACTCAGGCAGAATCCACAATAGAGTTGAAGAGTACATATTATCAGTTTACCTGAAAAAAGAAAAAAAAGTTTAACATTACTAAATGCGGTAAATAAATTTAAACTTAACTGGTACATCTTTTGCCTGTCAAATCAGCACACACACACACAAATTTTTTAAAACAATTGCTCAGTGGGATCAGGGAAATGAGGTCTCTCATTACTCCTGTGAGTATAAATTGGCATAGTTCTTGTAGGACTATTTGGCATCTTGTATCTAGATCCTTTAAAGTATTCTTATCCTTTAACCGTTTGTCCACTCATGAAATAAAAAACAATTATGCCAAAATATATACACAATCATATTCTTTCCAGCATTACTTACCATCACAAAAAATAGGTGAATGGTTAACTATGGAACACACATCGTGGAATATTAGACTTATCTTAGATATTATATATAGCGTGATGTTAGCTTGGGCTCTAGATTTAGCAACTTATACAACTCTATACTCCATTTATTAGCTGTATAAACTTTTATAAAGCACTTAACTTTTCTAAGCCTCAATTTCCTCATCTTTTACAGTGAAAAATAAATGAGATAAAGCGTGTAAAGTGTTTCACGCATTGCCTGGCACAGTGCTCACTTCAACGATCATGTTATCTGAGACTGCCATGTTTTCTCCTTTTGTATACTTAGCAATAGTCCCAATGTGTTCAGGCCATCTTTACCCATTTTCTAAAGTCTAAAAGATAAAAAAGCCATGCTGTATTCCACGCAGAAGTTAAAGTAAGAAGACTATTCTTCCACCCCATTCATCATCACATTTTACCATTTTGGTAATAAAAGTACACGGGATGGGGGTGGGAGTGCCAAGTCCTCATAGGTTCCCTTTGAAAACATCATTCTGCAAAAGAGGTTGGCCACAGAGACAAGTGCCTAAGACAGACACTGTCTTGTCCTTTCCTTTTAGGTATCTGTCTGATACCTCTTCCCTCCTAACTGCAGCCCTACCATTTCATCAGACAGGTGTAGGATTAAGCTAGATTCCTGTTATGTGTGTATATGTATAGGCATTAAAATTTTTTTAATCAAGTTTTCTGCAATGAATATATATTCCTCTTAAAATGAGGGACACAGTTTCTAATGTAAATGGCTCTTCTTAGCTTCACAATTAGTTTGGTTGCAAGAGTACGTAGAGTTGATTGGCTGTAGTGGAGGATCTAAGCTAGAGTGTGACTGGGAGGTACAGCAGATAAATTTGTTACCAGAAAGTCAAAATGATTTGAGCCTTTTTTCCTGTGTTGAGTTCATGGACTCAAAGTAGCTTTCCCGTATTTCTACATTATATCCTTTTTGTAAAGTATGCGCTAAGGATCTTACACAAAAAGGAATTAAAGCACTTTTATGAATGATAATGGTTATAGGAAATGTTTATTTCTTTTTTGTTTGTTTATAGTAAATCTGATATGTCTCGCTTGCGATTAGCTGCTGGTAGTGCCATAATGAAGCTTGCTCAGGAACCTTGTTACCATGAAATTATTACCCCAGAACAGTTTCAGCTCTGTGCCCTTGTTATTAATGTAAGTAGTAATCTTATTTTTGTCAATTACTTGTCTTCAAAGTTAAATACATTTACTTCTTATAGAAACAGATCCATTTACTATATGGATATATGCACAAAAAGGGATTGCTATTACCTATTTAAGTAAATATATCCCAAATATTATTTCCCCCCAATATAAGTATCATTTTTTAAAAATGAAGACACATTAAAAATTCTGAAACTGCTCCTCTCTTTCTAAATATTTGCAGTTTTTTAAAACTATATTACCTATTTAAGTAAATATATCCCAAATATTATTTCCCCCCAATATAAGTATCATTTTTAAAAAATGAAGACACATTAAAAATTCTGAAACTGCTCCTCTCTTTCTAAATATTTGCAGTTTTTTAAAACTGAACTGGGATTTTTTGTCATTTAAAAAATACTAGGGCTGGCCCGGTGGCGCACGGGAGAGTGCGCCGCTTGGGAGCGTGGCGGCGCTCCCACTGAGGGTTTGGATCCCATGTGGAGACCAGTTCCCGCCCACTGGCTGAGCGTGGTGCGGGCGCAGCACCGAGGGTTGCGATCCCATTGCCGGTCCCCGGTACGGGCGCGACACTGAGGGTTGCGATCCTATTACCGGTCAGTTAAAAAGACAAAAAGGAAAAAAATAAAAAATAAATAAATAAATAAAAATAAAAAATACTAATATTTTTATTAAAGTATTTTTTGGTTTTGTGCTGCTATAGGATGAGTGTTACCAAGTAAGGCAGATATTTGCTCAGAAACTGCATAAGGCACTTGTGAAGTTACTGCTCCCATTGGAGTATATGGCAATCTTTGCCTTGTGTGCGAAAGATCCTGTGAAGGAGAGGAGAGCACATGCACGGCAGTGTTTACTAAAAAATATCAGTATACGCAGGGAGTACATTAAACAGAACCCTATGGCTACTGGTAAGTAACTTTGAAAGTTCCTAGTGTGCAGATATATCTTGTCAGTGTATAATTTGTGGAGAGGGTTTCCATATATTTCTACTATAGTTTGTAGTAAAACTGGGAGTTTTATAGAATGCTGTCACTGTAGTTACGATATAAACTGAAATCCTGGTGGCTGAGTCCTATCTATACTGCATAAAACTGTGTTAGATAATTGTATTTTTCTTATGGGATCAGCAGTATGGTTTGATTTGAACATGTTGCTCAGATGTCAGAGTTAATAATTTGTTCCTATCTTTGCAGAGACCCACTGTGTAATCAGTTTATCCTTTCGGATTTAATATCTTTCAGAGCTGAAATAAAAATATTTCAGTATCATCTAGATATGTTGCCTCTAATTTAGAAATAACTGAGGGGAAAAAATGGAAACTAAAGTGTTTAAAACTTGAACCTAGGAAGGGATTTTATAAAAGCTGTTATTGTCGTTGTTAATAATAATGTCTTCACTTTAGAGAAATTATTATCACTGTTGCCTGAATATGTAGTTCCATACATGATTCACCTGCTAGCTCATGATCCAGATTTTACAAGATCACAAGATGTTGATCAGCTCCGTGATATCAAAGAGTAAGTAATGTTGTTTTTGAAGAATTCTTAAAATTATTTTTACTTTTCGGGCTGGCCCGGTGGCGCACTGCTACAGTGCACCGCTTGAGAGCGCGGTGGCTCCCGCCGGTGAAGAATTCTTAAAATTATTTTTACTTTTCGGGCTGGCCCGGTGGCGCACTGCTACAGTGCGCCGCTTGAGAGCGCGGTGGCTCCCGCCGGGGGTTCGGATCCCACATACAGACCGGTTCCCGGTCGCTGGCTGAGCGAGGTGCGGGCGCGGCGCCGAGGGTTGCGATCCCGTTGCCGAGGGTTGCGATCCATTGCCGGACACGAAAAAAGACAAAAAATATATATATATTTTTACTTTTTAAAAAATGCTAAATTTTTTTCCTGTGATTATTTCCATTAGAATAAAAGACTTTTAATGGTTTGTTCATTTGCTGTAAATTGTAAGTTTCATCTTTCAAAATTGTTCCCACCTAACAAACTCTTGTTGATTATTTTGTTACCTGTTTGTTTTTAATTAGTGTAATCTTTGAAATACATTATTTTGTTATTTTAGTTTTTATATTGTTATTTTTTTACTGTTTATATTAAGATAAGGTTAAGTTACTTCCATTTTACAGTTTAGAAAGCCTTGTAATAAAAATTTCCCTTTAAACTTTACTTGCAATGTCAAAAGATAATACCTTAAAAATATGTGCCCACACATGAAATATTCTATGGCAGGAATATAGCAATATGAAATTAGATTTGTTATACTAGCCAGAGAGTTTTGTCTCTAGCAGAAAGATAGAAAGATAACTAAACAATTACAAAACACTTGTTCAAGATATGTTATTTATGTAAAAATAGAACTTTATATATAATGCTGGGTGAAAGAGTGAAAGAAGTCCAAGGACTGTCTACAAATGACCTCTAAGAAACTTTAAAGCAAAATTTACTTTCTTTCCCCAATGCCATGTTTTTGCCTTGCACTCTTGAATTGGTACCTTCAGCTTATAAAGTATCAAAGTTTTTCTGTGTTGGACGTTAAGTCTTATTTTGGACATTAAGTCCTAATATTATTTAAGAGTTCCACATTTATCTCTGCCTCCTTTAGCTTTGGTCACTAAAATGGTGTCAAAATTTTAACAGTTGAAAGAGACATTATATCTTGTCCAACCTATGGACCTCTTGTCCAACAAGCTTCTTAACATTTTGAAGTCTCGTCATTTTCATTGTTGTTATTCTAACACATCATTCCAGTGTATTGCCTTTACATTTCAAGTACTTAAAAATAAGTCTACATTAAAAAAAAAATTTTAATCGATTATATATATATATATATATATATATATATATATGTATATATATATATATATATATATATATACATATATATATATATATATATATA